TTCATATTTGTCTCCGTAATACTTGCATTATCATGTTGTTTTTCTCCAGCTAAATCCTATATGGCAAAGCTCCTCCCATGGAATGAAATGTTGGTCACGGAGTTCATACTGTTGGGATTTTCAGAGAGCCATGAAATACAGTGCCTACTCTTTGCGTTGTTTTTACTTTTCTACCTCGTAGCCCTGGCAGGAAACATTCTCCTGCTCATCACACTGGCTGCTGAGTGGAGCCTTCATACCCCCATGTACTTTTTCCTGGGTAAACTCTCCTTCCTCGAGATCTGCTACACAACCAACATATTCCCCTGTATGTTAGCCAGCTTCCTTGCTGAGGCAAAATCGATCTCTTTCAATGGCTGTATGGCCCAGTTTTATCTGTTCGGTTCCTTGGGTGGTACCGAATGTCTCCTCCTGTCCATGATGTTGTACGACCGGTATCTAGCCATATGCAATCCGCTCCGCTATGCAGCTGTTATGAGCAGGGGCGTGTGCCTTTGCCTGGCAGCTGCCTCCTGGATCAGTGGCTTTGTGATTGCCTTAGTGACTATTCTGTTCATGTTGAGCTTAACATTCTGCGGCCCCAATGAAATAGATCATTTTTTCTGTGATTTCACCTCGCTCCTGAAGCTGGTCTGCTCAGATACTTACCTCTTCGAAAAGGTCCCCTTCTTCTTGTCTTCCACTCTGACACTGGTCCCCTTTTTGTTAACCATGGTGTCCTATATTTATATCCTATCTGCCATTCTCAACTGCCTGTCCACCGCCAGGTCACAAAAGGCCATCTCCACTTGCTCATCTCACCTTATAGTAGTCACCACGTTCTACGGGACTCTGATTGCTATGTACATGGTACCAGCTGCTGACCACTCCCTAAATCTGAATAAAGTCTTCTCCATCTTCTATACCATGGTTACCCCCCCCCCATGGCGAATCCCCTCATATATAGTCTGAGGAACAAGGAAGTACGCGAAGCCCTGAAGAGGCTGGTAGGTAGAACATTTGCTTCTTGTTGGAAACAAAAGAGTGGGAAGATGTGACTTCCCAAAATGGTATTGTGTCCTTTATTCTTAATTAGACATTTAACTCCATGAAGGCAGGAATATTTCTGTTGGTTATAACACAGTAGTTGGCTGGGAGTATAGGAAATATGTGTTCAGTTCTTAGATCTGTCAATGAGTCACTGTGTGACCTTTGGTATTTCAAATAACCTCTCTATGACTCAGTTTCCTCCTCTATAATACTGCCTTATTCCTTTAATAGTTATCTGACACCTGTAACGAAGTGGGGGTGATGTTTTTAATGTTTTGTCTGACTAGTGTGTGTGCCTCAGTTTCCCCTGTGTGTTACCCCAGTATCTATGTGGTGGGACAAGGGTGTGTTGATCATTGCAGAGATGCCTAGCGGACAGGTGTGACTGTCATCTGGCTGCCTGGGCACAGACAATGGCTGACACTCTGTATCCTGACAACTCTGCAAGAGTCAGCTGGAGGTGTTGGAGAACAAAGCAAGAAGTGGAAGCCAGGTGACCAGTTTGCCCGGGAAAGAGACAAAGGATGTAGGAGGGGCAACTGGACATGACTGAGGGTGGGCTGCTAGAAGTGAGCCAGTTTCCTTTTGGGACTCAGGGGAGAGCCCAGGGCTCTGGATTCCCCAAGATGGACTTTGCTGAGCTTCTGTGCTACCAATATCTGTTCTACGCTGTGTCCCAGTTGACTAATAAACCCTTCTGTTTTACAATGCTGGCTGAGAGTCACTACTGACTGAAAAGTTGGGGTGCGCAGCCCGACTGAGGAGGGTGTTGTAAGGCTTCCCCTGGTATCTCATTCAGGCAGACTCACTGTGTGGATCTTACAGTGCAAAAAGAAGAATACTGAACGCTCTGAGGTCAGACCCAGGAGGCGCTGAAACCAAGGAGGCTTACCCCAGTGAGAGTGTGCTCAGAGGGGTTATCACACTACACCAGAGGGGTCCCATCTGAACTTCATTCTAATGGTTCCAAGAGCACCGAGGCTGCGCACTCCATGACAACACCACGATATAGGAATCTTAGTGCAATAGATAGATAGATAGATAGATAGATAGATAGATAGATAGATAGATAGATAGATAGATAGATAGATATTCAACCTGTGGAACTCTTTGCCAGTGGACGTTGTGAAGGTCAAGACTATAAAAAAGGGTACAAAAAACAAACTAGGTAAGTTCATGTAGGATAGGTCCATCAATGGCTATTAGCCAGGATGGGCAGGGATGGTGTCCCTATTAAACCCTCTCTTGTCAGAAGCTGGGAAACGGTGACAGGGATGGATCACTCAATGACTGCCTGTTCTGTTCATTCCCTCTGAAGCACCTGGCTGCTGATGGACCTGTGGTCTGATCCACTATGGCCATTTGTTATGTTCTTTTATGGCTTTGTAGATTTACACCTCCCAGCTTGCTCAACACTAACTCTCCATATGGACAAGCCCTTAGGGTCCCTTTAGCCTAGAAAGTCACACTTTATTGCTTATATGTTGGGTGGAACTGGCTGAGTGGGGCTGGGAAGGGAGATGTGGGGAAAAGTTACCAGAAAAATTAGGAGAAGCCTGATTTTCGCTAAAATTCAGGCCCACAGAATTCCCCTTTAGCGGTCGAGGGAGAGAAGAAGCTCTCTGATCCTCTCAACCCTCCAGCCCCCAAGAACACTGAATCATAGAATCATAGAATATCAGGGTTCGAAGGGACCTCAGGAGGTCATCTAGTCCAATCCCCTGCTCAAAGTAGGACCAATCCCCAACTAAATCATCCCAGCCAGGGCTTTGTCAAGCCTGATCTTAAAAACCTCTAAGGAAGGAGATTCCACCACCTCCCTAGGTAACCCCCATTCCAGTGCTTCACCACCCTCCTAGTGAAAAAGTTTTTCCTAATATCCAACCTAAACCCCCCCCCCCCCCAGGTACCCCCCCTTCCCTGGCTTCCCCCCCCCCCTAGGGAAAAATTTTTTCCCAAAACCCCACCCAACCCCCCCCCCCCCACTGCAACTTGAGACCATTCCTCCTTGTTCTGTCATCTGCTACCACTGAGAACAGT